TAATATAGGTTTATTGTAATAAAGTTTCTACTATGACATTATATTAATAAAAAAAAAAAAAAAAAAAAAAAAAAAAATAAATGTATCTTTTATTCAATTAGTGCTGTAATATTTTGTGAAATATTTACTTTGGGTTTTGTTCTTAGTATAAGCCTATTAGCCAATCAAATCTTGTAAAATCACGAAATGATCTACAAAAATTAGTCAATCAGAATAAAGCCCACTAATGCTTGACAATACCTAAATTATATAATATATCCAGCACGGAATTATGTGCAGATCACGCACAGTGCCCATCACTAAGACCGAGAGATTTTTTAAACCAGTTAGACTGGTAAAAAATTGGATCTATTGATGGCTAATGAAATGAAAAATTTATTTATTAGAAGTCTAAATAATTAAACATAGCTGCCACAACAAAATTGTCATGGCAGATCCTTGATTTTGATTAGCTAATGGCCGAGGATCTTCAAAATCTTAGCCCGAATTACGTATGGGCCAAGATCTCCAATTTCCGCAGTTTTTATTATGAATAAAAAATTTTTAAACCAATCCATATGCAAGATTTGCCGTAAATATTGAGATTAAAAGCGATATTCCTTATGATTTGCTTATCAGTTGTTTTCAGTTTTTTTATATAGTTTACTTTATGGGTCTTATCGGTGTTTATAAAATTTTAATAATCACAATGTTCCGACTGATGTGAGAGGCAGAATCGATCTGGACTCTCAAAATATGAGCCTCGCGGATATCAACTAAGCTAAACTAATCTAAATCAACACTCTAACAACCAAAACCCTAATGGTAGAAGGCATGAAAGAGGGCGTGGAAAGATTTGGTCTGAGTTATTAGGGCCAAATAGAGCTATAGACTACGTCACGAAGCTCTAATTCAGGATCACGTGATTAGGCTACTAATTCTATATGAATTTAACTTATCGGGGGGGGGATAATTATAGTGAATGTTTAAAGTTGAAATGGTAGACTCTCATTGAGTCGAACTCTAATGAGTTATATGCGTAGAACGTTAACTAGTGGTAGCTAGCCATTACTTTATTCAAGGCGAACTCTTAGCCTTTATATACATTTTTCAGCTATTATCTAATTCGTTAATTCTACCTAGCATATATAACGTATCTAATATATATAACGTATATAACATATCTAACATATCTAACATATCTGACATATCTGACGGATATGACATATTTGACATATCTGACATATCTGACATACCTATTAGATATGGCAGATCTTTTTCGGCCCACCTCGATCTACTATGCAAAAAATGATTTCAAGCCACAATTAACCCTTTCACACTAGACATTTTGGCACATGCGACATAATTGTTCACTAATTTCCAGCCGGAATAACTTTTTAATTTTTTTTCAACTTTAAGTTAAAATATCTCAACAACTATTAAACCAAATTTGATAAATTTTTTTTTAATTTAATTCTATATAGTTATAGAATTAAAATAAAAAAAAAATTTATCAAATTTGGTTTAATAGTTGTTAAGATATTTTAATTTAAAATTTTAAAAAATCTTACTAAAAACAATTTGCTTGGCTTCCATTAACTCCCCCCATATATACAAAAGTACCTCTATATAGATTAAAAGAGATCGTACTGGTTCTGCGTAGGGATAGCAATGGTTACAGTTATGACCGGTCATGACCGGTTATAACCGTAACTGATACCGGTCGGTCAGAGACCCTTGACCGACCGGCTAAAATCTGATCAATGATAAAAATTAATATAATAAATATCCTTATTTATGCTAACCTTGCTTTAATACTAAAAATAGTATAATTTATTAGCAGATTTGTATAAAAGTTCGTAAAGTTATATATATGGGCGAATCAGCCCTTAAATCTATAAACAAAGAACTTTGGATCAAATAGTCCATTTTGAATTATTTTATCACCAAGTTGATCATCTCTATGAGATGATTCCAATGAACCTAAAATCAATAAAATTCGATCACAGGATTATGAGATCGTTAAAGATCTGTGTTTCATTGGCATTCTTGGATAGATAAACTACACCAAAAACACACGATGAAACACAAATCTTTAACGATCTCATAATCCTGTGACTGATTTTATCAATTTTAGGTTCGTTGGAATCATCTTATAAAGATGATCCAAAATTGATTAAAAGTTACACACCGTTTAAATTATGTACGTATATCGATATTGATTAGTGATTCTGTAAATCCACCTATATAGTAAGTATTCTGGTTTGTGTAATATAGATACAGTTATCTTATTTAATCAATTACATATTTAATAATCATATACGATTGATAGTATTTATAAAGATTTTTTTATATGTTTGAAACTAAAATAAAATTCTAGTTTTATTTATTTGTATGCATTAGAATTATTTATAAATATGGATACGTATAAACTATCTTATCATTAAATATTAAATTAAATAAGAAATAATTAAATTAAAATTATTAAATACTTTATGGGGTGTGCTAGGTCCTAATGAATTTAATCATTATAATTATTTACCTTGGCATTTGGCAGTATGATTATCCATTAGATATATATACGTATATTGACGTTGTTAGTGTAAAAATTTTCTTGTTACATCCCTGGCGCCTGGCATGTGGGTTTACCCAAGTGTTAGTTGATCTTGTCGCTCTATCTAGCTGATCTTGTTATGCAACTCCAGATAGACCTTAATTTTCTTTTAGTTCCTAGATAAGCTTGTGAGATTCCCTTCTTCATGAGAGGAGTAACATTAGAATAGAGTACTATTGGAATTAAAATGTTTATGATGGTGTGAATCATAGAAAAATAACTTGTATTTATAGACATTGTGTTTTCCCAGCTAAAGACTTTTTTTTTAGACTTCGATTTAGATAGATTCGATTTCTCCTTGAGTAGTATTTTAGTTGTTTGATTAGTCTTATTTATTAGTTTATTCATCTTTTATTATTTCTTTTTTTTATTTGTCTCTTTGTTTTATTTATTTATTTATTTTTCGGTATTTGTTATACTCTGTTTCTATTTCATACCTTTATTCATTATCTATATATTTTTATCTAATAAGCTAGTATTATCTTCTACTTGTAATCATTTAAAGTATACCACGTATATATTTAAATTGCATTGCACATACAATTAACTGTATCATCTATCCTAATATATCCAATTCATAATTGTTAACTCCTGCCCAATTATCTCTAATTTATATAACAATTACCCTTCCAGATTTATCTTATAATATACTCTTAAACTATACATTGCATTATCTCACCTATTACATCACACATATTGTTAACTCCATAATCTTTCTACCAGTTACTATCAAAGCTAATTAGGCCTTATAGTCAATTCGCTCTCCCACTTGGTAGTAACAACATTTTTTTAAATATATATATATAATTTTTATACACATTTAAAGTTTTTAAAATTTTAAAAATGTCTGAGAATTTAAATAGCCCTACTAATACACTTGAAGAGTGTAGTGATAAAGATGATTTAAATAATCAAATTTATGCAGAAAATGAAAGTGATCATGATGAACTTAGTTTTGAGCTTTAATATAATATGGAAAGTGAAACTCTTGAAGAAGCTGAAGATGTAAGGTTAGTAATAGGTTTTACTTTAAAATTTAAAATTTAATTTAATAATTTTATAATACTTAATTTATCTTATTAAGATAAATTAAATATTATAAAAACAATAGAGAATATGTTTAGAGAAATCTAATTGTATTAAAAATTTGTTTTATTAAAGCAAATAATGAGTTAAAATATACTATTATATAGCATATATTTGCCAATAATTTGGTTTAATAAAACAAATTAATTATTATATGAACAATATTTTATATTTAATTTTTTGTAATAAGATAAGCCATATTTTTTAATTTAAATATATATTAATTTTTTTAATTTTATTTTTATTAGTATGGAAGAAATAATTGAAGAAAATATAAATAAAGATTCAAGATTAGTTCAATCAAAAACTTCAAGTAATATTTATAAATCTGATGTTTGGGATTATGTTAATGAAGAAACTCGTAAATGTTCTAGATGTCCAAAAATATTTGCACCAACTACAGCTACTACTTCTATTCATAGTCATTTAAAACAACATAACATATCATTTGATAAATCAAAGCAAACTACTTTGGATATTATAATTAAAAAGCATTCACCAAAGATTCAAGCTGAGAAAACCCAGGCTATAATTGAGTAGATTGTATTAGAACTTAAATCATTTAATATTGTAGAAAGAAGTACTTTTTTTAATATGATTAATAAATTAGATCCATCATATGAAATTCCTACTAGAAATACTATTAAAAATTCAATTATTACACAATTTAATCAGCAAAGAAATTTAGTAAAAAATTATTTAGCTAAAATTTCAAATAATATTGCTTTAACAGTTGATATTTGGACATCTATTAAAATGAAAAGCTTTTTAGGAATTACAGTTCATTTTATTGATGATAATTGGATTTTGCAACATTTTGTTTTGGATATATTTAGATTTAAAGAATCACATACAGGAGAATTAATTGCTAATAAAATTTATGAAATAGTTAAAGAATTTGGATTAGAATCTAAAATAATTTCATTAACTACTGATAATGGATCTAACATGATTTCTGGAGCAGGATATTTACAGGATAAATTAAATTTAGATGAATTTGCTCATTACAGATGTATAGCACATATACTTAATTTAATAGTTTCAGCAGGATTAAAGGTTTTAGAAAGTTCTATTAAAAATTTAAGAAAATTAATTAAAACAATTCGTAAATCAACAAAATTTCTTGAAGATTTAAAAAATATTGTAGCTTTAGATAAAAAAACCTTTTTAGCACCAATTTTAGATTGCAAAACTAGATAGAATTCAACATATCAAATGATTAGTAGAGTATATAATCTTAAAGAATATATTGAAATGTTATTAGTAAAACATCCAAGTTTAAAAAATTATTGGCCAAATGAAGAAGATTGGAATATATTTAAACAGTTAATTCAATTATTAGCACAATTTAATGATGCTACTATTGAACTTTCTTCACAGAAATATCCTACAATAGCATATGCACAAATAATTTTATTATCAATTAGAAATGAATTAGAATCTAATCAAAATAATGAATACCCTTTAACAATAGTTATTGAAGAAATGTTATCTAAATTTATTGAATATTATAATACAATAGTAGGATCTTTTCATATTGCAGCTTTTTTAGATCCTAGATATAAAAAATACTGTTTTCCAAATATGGATAATAATGAAATTTTAGGTCCAATTAGAGAAAAATTAGAACAACAACCATCTTTACCAGCACAACCATCTAAAAAATCTTCAAGTTTTTATCAAAAATTAAAAAGTACATCTCAAAATCTACAATTAATAGATGATGAAGTTTATAAATATTGGGCATTTGCTGAAGCTGATGAAAATATTAATCTTTTAGAATGGTGGAGAATATATACAATAGAATATCCTACTCTTTCAAAACTTGCTCAAAATTTTTTATGTATACAAGCTACTTCAGTACCATGTGAACAACTTTTTTCAATTGCAGGTCAAGTATTATGTAAATCAAGGAATAGATTAAGTGGTGATTCAGTAAGAGCATGTTTATGTTTACGTAGTTGGTTATTAGAAAATATTAAATAATTTTAATTTTTATAGTATAAATTAAAATTATAATATATATTATTAACTAAATTTTATAAATATTACTAGGTTTTTTTTCCCATTGGGTTTTTTTCTTAACAAATATCTAAATTTTATATTTTATAACATATATTATTAAAATTTTATTTATTTATTTCAATTTTATTTATTTTATTATATTTTATTTATTATAAATCAATAAATTTATTAAGGGAATTGATATTTCCACACCCTTTTTTGATAATGCCACATCCATGTAGATTATTAATTTTTATAATTTTTTATACAATTGATCGAAGATAGCTCGGCACTCACCTGACCAAATTCGATCAAGTTTTTTTATTTTAATTGTAAAAAGCTATAGAATTTGAAGGAAAAAAGTTGATTGAATTTAGTCAGGTGGGTGTTGAGATATCTTCGATCAAAGTTTTTGTAAAATTCTAAACATCTAACAAATATAAGCTGTAGCAAAAATTGTTTTCAAACTTGATCGAGAATATCTCGGCACCCACCTGATCAAATTTAATCAACTTTTTTTTATTTTAATCATAGAAAGCTATAGAATTCAAAGAAAAAAAAGTTGATCGAATTTGGTTAGGTGGATGCCGAGATATCTTTGATCAAAGTTTTGTAAAATTCTAAACGTCTATCAGATATAAGCTGCGGCAAAAATTGTTTTCAAACTTTGATCGAAGATATCTCGGCACTCACCTGACCAAATTCGATTATCTTTTTTTTATTTTAATTACAGAAAGCTATAGAATTCAAAAAAAAAAAATTGATCGAATTTGGTTAGGTGAGTGTCGAGATATCTTCGATCAAAGATTTTGTAAAATTTTAAACGTCTATTAAATATAAGCTGCGGCAAAAATTGTTTTCAAACTTTGATAGAAGATATCTCGGCACCCACCTGACCAAATTCGATCAATTTTTTTTTATTTTAATTTCAGAAAGCTATAGAATTCAAAGAAAAAAGATGATCGAATTTGGTTAGGTGAGTGCTGAGATATCTTCGATCAAAGATATTTTATTAAACAAACTAGCTTTTGACTTCTAATAAATATTATAGAAGACATTTCTAGAACTCTAATACTGAAATTTTTTTTCAAATATTCTTGTTATTTCTTTATATTTTTTGTAAAAACTCCATAAATCTGCAACATGATTGACAAAATCTAGATAGACCAAATAATCTTCATGATTTAAGGTTATAAATACCAATATTTATAAACAAAACACAGAATATAAAACACAGTAGCTTTTTTTATAGGGTAATATAACTTTTTATATATTTCAAAAGGTTACTAGCAAGTTAATTAGTCAGTCAGTTAGTCAGTCGGTCAGTCAGTCGGTCGGTCATAACCGTCGGTTATAACCATGGTCAGTCAGTCATTAAGCAATAACCGGCGGTTATTGACCGTGACTGACCATGACTGACCGTTGCCATCCCTAATTGGGAGAGACATTATTTATAATTGATAAAAGTTGATATTAAATGTCTTTTCAATTTAATTGATATATATGAATAAATTATAGTTATTGTATGGGTATGTATGAATAACCCAGTTACATACAGGTTCATATTTCGTGCCGAAGGCATGGAATTTAAATATGAACCCGTGTGTGTAACTGGGTTATTCATATACTCATATAATAACTATCTTATTGCATGGTGTCTGACGTAACAATCCCGTGCAATAACCAAATGAAAAAAGCACGGGTTGTCACATAAGACCCGTACAATAAGAATATTTTTATTGATGGCAGAATAACACATTTCGCTTTCTTTTTATAATAATAAAATTGTAGCTCTAAAGATAGCAAATAATACACATAAAATAGAATAATGTTCTATGCAGGTACGAGTTAAAATAAAGAAAAAATGAAGTAAATATTTTGATTATCTTATTGGAATACAATCATAATAATAATATTTATAGCATTATTTTAAATAAATTTAATGAAGTTTATTTTAATTTAATAAAGAAGAGAACAAAAAAAAAAGCAGATCATTGTGTCGAGTATTATACTTTATATAATACTTAAAATATAACTTCATGACGATAAGTAATTACTTTTTAAATTTTTACTAGTTCTTTCTTTTTTACTTTCAACCTTAACCACTTGTTCATTTAAATATTCCAAATCATCGTCTTCATCTTCTGGAGCATCTTCAACTCGAGTTCTTCTATCTTGTGTGTTATCATGAATAGGCAACTCAAGAGTATTCAAAGCTAAATCAGACAAAGATTTTTTACCTTTTCAGCTTTGAGTTGTATTAACGCTAGTCATGTTGGAGAACAGTGAGTTCAGGTATGAATCAGATTTGACAATAACAGGGGATACAGAAGACAAACCAGTACTCTGTTTAGTAGCTCTGGTTGTTACTCTACGAGGCCTCTTTAATGTTTGCGAAGAAGCAGATATGGTATCTTCAGCAATCCGGTCAATATCAGAATGACGATAAGTAATAGTTGAGAAAGTGAATTCTTGTGCATTCTGAGTCATGTTAACATTGGCGGTCATGAAGTCTATATCCATGACTTCAAGCATGGTGAATTCAGGAGTTACACATTTGATAAAACCAGATACAATAAACATCCTGCCTATTTTAATACTATTATTAACACACAAATATGAGAATTTTGAAGCATTGGTAGAGTAAAAGATTCTCATTTTCATATAAACATTTTTCAAGTTTGTGTGCGAATTATATTGATAACAACTGGCATTAAAATAAGTAGAATCTCCTAGTTCTCTAGATTAGTGACTGACTAACACAGTAAACATACAATAGGAAATGCTAAATGGAATTTCGCTAGGCTCAAACTCTTGAGTGGGGTCACCAACAGCAATAATAGAAGCATAAAATATTGTAATATACTGTTCTAAATTTTCTATCACAAATTTTTCAGCAAACATCATATAATATCACCAACAGAAAATTCGGTATAAGCTTTTTGAAAAGGGTAAAAATATTTCTAATAGATTATGCTAAAATCATCTTTATTTACTTGATACTTAGCGAGGCCTTGAGTTAAAGAACTGGAATCCTCTTTAGTAATGATTATAACAACCAAAGAACTATGGAAAAGCATCATTAGGGTTAGTGCTAGAATTTAATGATTTAGATTAGGTTGCTTTGTATATTATACAATAAAAACTGATGAAGAAGAAATTCAAATGACTTTTCTCGCAGGTATATATATATTTTAACATATTATAAATAAGTTACTATACAGCATTTGTTAGAAGGAACATAAAGGGTTTATTAATTGTGTCAAGTATTCATTACTATAACAATATGTTAACTTATCTTTAGTAAATAACGTACACTTTACACAAAATTTTAAGAACAAAATAAGTATTTTTATACTATTTATTTTTAACTATTTACTGGTAAGCGACTATGTGAATAAGTTATACTTTAAAAAAAGAATTAAAATTTGTACGTTGAAACAATAAGGCACTCATTTTAACTGAAATCGAACGATAAATATTTAATTTGTAATCATCTAATAATAATAGGAAACTTAACATCTTAGCAACAATAAAGATAGATGATATTGAAATATTTATTGATTTGATTATCTTAAAAAACAAAACAAAATATATAGTTATACAGGTAAATATATGATAGTAACATGTAAGATGCATATATATTTATGTATATAAATAAATCATTATGCAACTCAATAATTTTTAAGTTTAAAATTTAACGTGAAAATGCGATAATTATGAAAAGTTTGCTTAATATATACTGTATGTCGAAACATGATAAAAATAAATACAATGATCGTAAATAGTTCAGGTTAAAAAATTTAAGGTTTTAATTTAGGCAGATCGATTTCAAGCAGCTGATCAATCGATTATTTACTATATTAAGAAATTATTATATGATTAAAGCATATTACGAAACAAAAAGCAAAATATAATAAATACAACTGGAATATGACAAAAATCTTTGAGGACACACGAGCAGATCTATCTATCTGAGCGTTCAACACTTCTCAAGATAGTTCAGATAAGATATATAAAATTTTTGGATGAAAATCTTTCTGTTTTAATCTAAAAGGAAATGTGGTGGGTCACGGGCAAGGTCAAAATCTAATAATAACAAAAAATGTGAACAAATAAGCATACAAATAGCAATGATCAGAGTTATGCCAACCAAAAAGATAGAGAAGGAGTTAACTATAGTGTATAGAGTAAAGTGAAACAGTTTATTTCACAACTAAAACTACAAACATTATATTATCAACTAATATATAGTGGTAACATACATATGTATGACTACAATATTCCTATCTACCTTTTATTATAAGTATTAAATTTTTAAAACCTTTTTATGTTTTATATGTATGATTAGTGTTGGCAGCAATAGACAAATAAAACAGTAGAACAATAGAATAGGGCAAAAAATTTAAAATAGAATAAAATTTTTATCAATAAAGCCAGAAATTTATGAGATTATACTGTAATTAATATTAATGTAGCAATAGATGAATAGAAACACTAGAACAATAGAATAGAATAATAAAATTTAGAATAGAATATAATTTTTTATCAATATTCATTATATAATTTTTTATATGCAAACAATTCATACCAACAGGAAATTAAAACCTAATTAATTATTAATTCCAGACATGATTGTTATTTTCTTATAGAATTGATTTTAGTTTATTCTAAACTAAAATTAGCTTATATTAGAAAATTAAAAATTTAAATTACTTCCAATATATCTGCACATCTTTTCAAGCATCAATGGTTCTTTTGAGACTTGTCTGTTTATGAACAAGTTTTTATACTTTTATACTAAGTCAAATAAAGTGTTCTTTTATTAGAGACGTTTTATTAAATTAATTTTGTCAATTTTAAAATCAATTTAATCAATAAAGATAAAATCATTTCATCACTTTGATTTAACCAGAATCTTTTTTTTTTTTTTTTTTTTTTTTTTAATGTTTAAGGTGAGACCATGCACTTATCTTTATTAGTCTTAATGAAAACTTTTTACAATATTAGAAAAG